GTTTTTGTTTATTTTTGGGATTGCACACAGGAGAGGATGCATTCACGCTAGTTACTTCGGCTCAATGCCATAACCCGCAGTGTCTCCAGTCAAAGACAGTTTGAATCTTTGGGGCCCCAGTCGGGGAGCCGGTAAGCCCCAGTGGGGGCCAGATCCGAGCACAGTCTCTTTAACCCTCTGTGCCATTTCATAGCCTGCCCACCTTGTTGTTTATTCCACCCTGAACCGATGTCTGCGAATAGTGCACGGTGTGGCAGACTTTGCTCAGGCATTCGTAGGACGTACCCTAGCCACCTCAGACGATTCTGTGAAACTATTTTCCTCTGCTCAGACTACCTGATCTTAGCACACGTCGTCTGACCTCATCGTTATTCACGCGATGCTTCCACCATACGCGGGTGGTGTTGCGCAGACAACGGTTATCGAAGACGGAAAGTCGTTGGACGTGATCTGCTCGGGGAGACCGAGTCTCACAGCCAAAGAGCAACAAGGTGCGTACCGTTGCGCAATACACACGACCTTTCAGCAGAAGGGATATGTCGCACCGGCGCCAGAGATGTCGCAGATTAGTAAACACTAATCTAGCTTTGATCACACGTTGAGAGATCTCCTCGCCCATACCTCCGCCAGCCGTTATGCAACTCCCGAGGTAGACAAAGCTTTCGACTACTCCCAGGGTGTCATTACCCAACGAAAGTGCTGGAATGGGTTCCTGTCAATCTTGCAACAACAGTTTGTACTTTGAAGGTGCAGAGGACATACCAAAGCGAGTAACCTCAATTGCCAAACGGTTCCACGACTCTTGAATCGTTAGTGCGTTGTCACCCACCCTATCTTCCCTTTGACTCTACTCTCAAAATTTCAATCTTCATTTGGCTATTTAATCCAAATGGGCAGCCAAAAGACAGCAACCCAAACCAGCGCACGAAACTGCATGGTGAATGGTTGTAAATCTAAAAAGCTGAACCGTGATGTTTCTCCCTCGTTGGGTTTCATCTGAAGCAGTGCGAGTCTGCTAACTCGTGACGTCAGAGTCAGAAGAGAAGGATGACATCCTGTTCTAACCAGTGAGCAGCTGAGAGACCTAATATAATTCCAAAATACTTATCACTTAATGCACATTGGCAAACATATTGTTGTTCACCATCTATTGCATTTCCTGACTGAGGGTTCACATATGGCTGTTCCTCAAATACAAGAGATGCTAACGCGGCATGGATTCTGGTCAATCAGAGTGAAGCACTTGGAAATGTGTGTGTGTATGTGTGCGTGTGAAACAGATATTCAGAGGAAATGAAAATTTGCCCCTCTCCCCGAACACAAAGCGACTGACGAGCTGAATACATGACATGTAGCAAGGTATCCATGGAAAGAATGGAAAAATGGACTAAGTCATTGGTCATTTATTTATCAATAACAGCCACTGACTGAGTGATTACTTAAGTAACTATATGAGTGTTTCAACGAGTGAATAAATAAGTAAAATAGCCAAAAAGCGGGTATGAATAGAATGCTACATGTATGACGTTTTTCTTCGTTGGACAGTCTAATCTCTTTGATTTCTCGATCTGGATAATCGTTGCCGGCTGTGGAACAGACCCTGAGCTCCTCCGTAAAACTACGTTTGGGGGTGGGGAGTAATCTATTTTCCCATCTTGGTCTTATTTGCTCCGGGTTAATGATATCACTGTCAGTGTAGAAGGCCTTGACTTGTTACTCAGTAGTTATGCAACCAACGGTCAAGGGAGAAGCCATGGTCAAGGTGAAGCTGCCAATCATTGAGCGTGTCTGGAACACACAAACCGCAGTGGAATGAGATGACTACTCGCACCACTCCATCCACATCATTCTGATCGTTTTGGTGCCTTGCTACAACCTCATAATCAACCCATTGAGCTTTAACCCGTTCGTGCAGAGTTGCGAGCTTCAGATTTCTCGCATTAATACCAGAAATTGGAGTAATTTCAACGATGTTTATTTATTGGTTACGGCCATTTCTGTGAACTGAAAAGTTTTCCACCAGTCTGGCAAGCAATGGATGTGTGAAATCATTTCTGACGGTTAAAGAAGACTTCGGGTAGTTTGAGTTGCCAATTTTCGGTATTCACGAAATCGATTGAAGGTTATTGTTGAGAATGGGGACCCAGTCTGTCTCTCCCGCTCGCTCGCTAGCACCGCCGGAAAGCGTTGGTTATCCGACACGGCGACAAAGTGTGGTTACTCTGAAAAAAATGCTTTTACTTTTCGAAAGCAATGACATGTTTGCTCACTCCTCCCCTTGGGGTTTCCTCGAGGGAAGCACTTCATTCAGCCTGATTCTTTTAACGTTCGTAACGAATAATTTCCGTGATTGTTATAATTGCCCGAATTAATATATATATTTTATTGGTAGAGTACAATGGACAACATTTCAGACGAAATCGATTCCGCACCAAATTCGATTGTGACTAACCGATCTTGAGAAAGGTTGCCCGTGCTTACTTCAAGACCTAACGATAATGATGCTGGTTTTCTCCAATAGCTGGAAGAGGCATGTAATATCTTTTTGGGTGCATCTGTCGCTCGACACAATTCACGTCGAACTCGTATCCAGTAGACTGACAACCGAATTTCTTAGTTCTCACTATCACCGAACACAGAAACTTTGTACGGGATAAAACTGTGATAAATATTTGTTCAAACACAATGTACTTTGTGCGCCTAATAAACATGAATGAACTCCGGACTGGGTTCATTTAATGAACTCATTTTGCCCAATTTTTGAGTTAAATATTTTCTGAAAAACTGTGATGAATTACTGGTGTTGTAAGGTACTACTGACATCTGTTAGTAGTATGCAAAATAGTTGGTAATTTCTTTCGATAGTCAAAATTAACAAGACTACCGAGGGTAAACTGCTGGGTCTCAAATAATAACTAGCGATTACTATATTCATTGCCCGATGTGCTGCTAGGAACTGTGATGGTATATTTCAGATGAGATTTCTGTGTTATGTATGCCAAATTAGTGATGTCCCAACTGTTATCTACAATAAACGGCTATCCTAGACCAGGCGCCAACTTGTGGAATTATAACACTAGCATGATCAAAGGTGATGCGTGGCCACATGAAAAAGATTTAGGAAAAAAGGAACACAGGCCCGAGTGACTCGGGCGATTCCTAGTCACACAAGATAGGATTCACCGCTGACCGCTGATTTGGCAACCATTAGAAGAGACCAAATAATTGGCTATTTGCAGGTATTAATCTGAACCAACAGCATGTTTCATTTGGTGACTCGAAGGGGGGGTCGAATGCACACAGTCTATGGACCATCTACATGCTTACAGTAGGCTAATAAGGTAAGTGACTTTGGTCTGGCGTGAGTTCTAACGCATAGCATCATATTATTGGGTATAATTGTTTTGACTTTTGACTAACTGCCTCGCGCAGCAAGCTGAATATGTATTAAGAATGAGATCTGGAAACGCTTAACTCAGGTATTTTGCTACCTCTGTCTGGGTTTAACTGCAATGACGGAGGATCGGGTGTGAGGATCACATCTGAGTGATGATCAGTGATCATTTCGAATCAATCAAACCAATTTATTCAAATTGCCGTTTGGCGGATTAAAGTCTTATGTTGAACAAAAATTTGGAAACCAAGTAACTTAGCCTTATAAGTTCCTTCAGTGGACCGCGGTGAATTCTGATGGAAAACCTGTTGTGGTTTTCAGCTATCTTGTGGATGCCATATGCCTCTGCAAGTAGGATGGGCGATTCGATTGTGACAACAGGGTCCCATCGGTCTGGTCTGACCTGGCCGCTCAACTGGTAGGGCGTGCACTGTACAGCCGCGTAGGCTGCGTCCGTGCGTGGGTTTGAATCGGACCGAGGCTAATAAACTTTTTAGAATTTCAACATAAAACCCATTTGTGTCATATCAGACGCTGTCACGTTGTTTAGAGTTGGTTTTCATGGTTTAAAGTGTGCTTGCTATCACTAAAAGGGGACACCTCAGAGCTATTACACTAGGTAAATTGGGAAACGAAAACGGGATCTCATTTAATCTTTTTAAATATTTGAGTTATTCTCAGACAATATTCAATTTCTCAACGTGATATCACCTCTTCCTTGTTATCCTATAATGTCAAGTTTGTCGGATCGATGAAGCGACTTCTGATCATAAATTCTCTTTCAGGAAAGATCACATGATTTAAAAAAACGACAATGAACACACTTTTTCTTCGTTTTCTTTTCCACCTGATGTGGGTAATTTGAGCAGATACAATTTCTATGAATCGGATACCTTCCTATCCGGTCGATGAGCCTCGTGACAGACGATCGAATTCGCCAAATCGACAGCATTTGTCTAACCAGTCCAACGCGGGACGACGTGATTGGGCCGCACTGTTCAATCGACCCCTATTCATCATCATGATAGTCGCATTTGTCTTGCTATTCTTCACCGGGATCATATTCATCACCCTGTTTGCCATGTGTCGACGTCAACGAGCACATCGGAAACCGAGATCGCAAGTCATTGGTGGCTTCCGAGGTCCGTCTCAATCCTACGCTAACAAAGAGTGCAATGAACGGGACCGGGAAGCGAGAACAATCAAACTACCCGCGCCAAGTTGGACTCCCAGTGCTGTCATTTATCAGCCCACCGGGTAAGTTGTGCACGTGAGTGGGTGTATATGTGTCCAGATAAATACATCCTATTAACTTCATCATCAGTTTTTTTGGTGCAGAAAAATTCTCGATGGCAACTGGTACCAATAAAGATGAGGGGCGATTCTTTGTGAGTAGGCAAATATCTATCCATCTATCATCTATCTACATGCCTTCTTAAAGGCTTCATTTGGCTCTGAGTCATCAGGGGTCACTGTTGTTGTTGTTGTTGTTGCCAAAGCAGTGCACGGCACGACACTTCTCACTCACTCATCTCGTTTGGGTGCATTATCTCCTTGATGCCCATTCATACGAATGAGTACATCTAGTTTGGCCAATACACATATAATTATGTGTAAGTTGAGTCAGCCTTGGGATATTCGTTGCACGCTAACAGACACACTTGTCCTAATAGTCGCTTTTTTAAACTATTAGTTTCCTAGTTCCTGGTCCGGTGTGCAACCGATAATCATTGACAGACGTGAAACGGTTCTATCTCGGCAAGTATACTGACTGACTGACTGACTGACTGACTGACTGACTGACTGACTGACTGACTGATGGGTTCATTTGTGAAGAACCAGACTCTAAGAGGTACTTTCTTCAGCATAACTTACAACTCGGACCCAGATGCAGTTTCTGTCAGCGGCCTACCTAAAGATGAACGCATTCAGATAGTGAAAATAGCCTTGAACCGTTATTCGGGGCTTATCCCTTCCAAGCGAATTTATTTCTGCGCTTAGTGAACCTAGGGGCAGTTGCTGTTTCTGAGTGCGCAATGATAATACTTTGTGTTTTCTTCTGCGGATCGCATATCAACTAGTTGTTGCTGGTTTGTGAGCATACTGAGCTTGCATATCCTCAGCATATATGCTTTCAGTTCTGATTGTCTTGATGTCGTTGACAGATTTTGTGTTGCTTTAAGGTCTGGAAGAAAATGCGGTAGATAATGTACTATTTTAGGTAATTTTTCGTAAGCTGTGATTTGAAAATATTCCGTTTTTCCGTTTGAGTCCACTGAATAATAATTCCATGGGTGAAATTCGTCACATAAATAGCAAATGAAGTGTGAACTGAAAAGCTAGGAAGCACTGCACTGCAGGTGTTTCGACCTGGTTGGGTCTCATCAGTAGCCGTGCGCGAATCCATAGACCCAACTGAAGATTAAACCGGAGGCCTCACAAACAGAACGCAAGCATGCTACCCACTCGACCGCCGGGTAGCTGAACAGACCGTTTTTCATTTTCCATTTATGCGGTATAACACAACCCATCTTTGCTATCCCGTTGCGGGAATCGTGCCTTACTCATCTGGGCACTATTCGCAGGGATTATGACTCAGTTGGAAACTTCCGCAACTTCACCACTTGTTGCATGGGGGATTTGATTCAGTTTCATATAAGGGACTAATATTTCATTCCTGTACTCTTAAATTAGATAAAACGCGAGCGTTTCTCTATAGGAAACAGAGCAAGTGTCCATGAAGGTTCAAATCAGATATGTATACTGACGACTACCACCAACTTCAATGAACCTTTGGTGGGCACTTCCGTTGAACTCTATGAACGACCCCAGCGTTACTTCACCATCATATTCTTTGTGGAATAAACGTACAAAAATTGTTTAAACCATGACTGTTTTTAAGATTTCCGGAATAAAAGCTTTCTGTTCTCAAGGTAATCAATCTGATCCAAAAATAGCTGACTTATTTTAACGTGTAGGTCCATCTAACTATTTCTTATTGCAATGGAATTCGGAAATATGTATTGGTTGAATTGTTGAATTGTTTGCAACCATATCAATTCACGTGACCGTCTGATCAACAGCATTACGCCCAACGAAAACCTCCTGCATGTGGATTTGTCATCAAATATTGATCACATCCCTGGTTTTTGCCTCAAACTCGCCTACACGTGACACCAACCACTCGAACAGCATCATCTCTCATCTTGAGCGTAATTCAATAAGCTGTATACCCGTGGATACTAGCCAGAGGGTGCTTTCATTTGAGTTAGTGTTGAAAAGGGACCATAATTCACCCTATGGTAGTGATTTGGCTTGACTTCGACTGTCAATCAGTGAAAATCGTTAGAGATATAGAAGGTTACCGTGAGAGGTAGTTTGGGGGACCATTGTGGAGAATCGGTAGGCAGACCCAGTGACGGCAGTCTACCCAACGCTAAAAAGTCGATAAAATCATCTCAGGTAAACCAGAAACGGTCAGAAGCACACAACTAAATCTATGGTTTTTTCTTGACCAGGTATCAGCGAAGCAAGACATGACAATCCCATTGTCACATATACACACAATATTCAGTGAGATTAACACAGACCAGAGAACAACAACAATGAAAGCGAATACTGTCTGGAACAGGACGTTTTGATAGCCAACTAGAAAGCAAATTCCCGCAGATCACAATACATTGTGATCAGCGAACAAGGCGTGAGTAGAATCCAAGACCGAGGCCTTGATGCATTGTCTCATTGACACCTCTTGTTGCGAGAGAGAAACGAAAGCAGTCAAGTACTTGCCAGGTAGCCGCATTTTGGTTTCAACAATTCTGTGCATTCTGTCTGTTGTCAGCTTTTAAAGTATTCTCTAACTGGTTCTCGGTCGCTACAAGAATTAGGCATAGATTACCAAAAATGGCTTGAGATACAGTTGGTTGGGAACCCGCAACCTTATTCTTCATTCCCTTCTCTACGGAGTGTACTGTTTCCGTTTGTGTAGGATCATGATGGCCGATGCATACGGGGCTTTCGAACGAAGCATTTTCTAATTGCATCGACAACAAAAGACATATGTGGGCAGAATTGATATTGGTCATCAATTTCGCGCGCTGTCATTCAGCTGTAAACGCACATTTATATGATCATGTGAAACAAAGAAGCATAAGAGTTGAAATGAGTCATTTGAACAGTGTTGGACAAGTGAGTCGAGTGATTTATGTTCGGTTGGGGGTTGAGGTCAAGTAAGATGAGAAAATTTGATATGGGGTGAACTGGACCAAACGA